GGTTATCTTTCACATCGGTGCTGCAAATGTTAGATATAAATACTAATGGATGAACTCTGAATCTCTTAATTTTCACATTGCTTGTCACATTTATGAATTAAATAATTTTAGAGATTAGGTTTTTCATAGATTAGGATTATATTGGATCTTTTTCTATGTTCTACTCTAAACAGATCTCTCTGATCTTTCAGCACTTGTTACCTCATGGATTTTTGTCTTCAGAGCAAATATTTATTAGTCCCTGGCTCTGCAGAAAAAAACATATCAATAATCCAATCTTGGTATATACAATGGTATTCCAAGCATCCCATTTCCTTTGGGGACTGACAGGACATTCTAATACAGCACTGTAATAACCAGGTCACTGCACAGACTGTTCAGCTCTTACCTGCCCTGGAGGTCCTGAGTCCACACCAGTGGTTGTGTTTGCATCAGACCCTGGAAAGGTACACAAATAATTTGGGCATAGCCTGATATTTTGCTTTTACTACTACAGCATTAGTGAAGAAATATGTGCACAGTTCCCACAATATATTTGTTTCATTAGAACAAAGACAAAAAGGAAATTTTACTCTCCAGGCTTGTAGCTTCTGAATTTTGAATTTAGGTAATATTCAAGCATGAATGTCACAGTCACCAGTCATGCATTTGTCCAGAACCTGACAAGTAATTTAACTGCCAAGTGGTACTTGGCAATTAGGAACTCAGAGTAGGTTTTATTTCTGATACCTGCCAAAAGCTACGACAGTTGTGCTGACACACAGAATCCTCATTCCCCTCAGTTTTCTGATGCTGTGAGCACTGCAGAGAAGTGCCACAGGAGAGGATTCAGGAGACATTTAGGAAAAGAAAAATGAAAATGTAATTCTACTAAGTGCAGTTGTGGGTTTGTTTTTCCCCTTCAGAAAGTGTCAAGCCAATTTTAAGACAGAATTTTGTTTGATCTGAGATGTTCTAAATGGAAGTCTTGCTTCATGGTAAAATGGCATTTTGTTCAGTTTTCAAACACTTCATATAAGGGGAAAAATTATTTCAATTGACATTCCAGAACAAAACATTTTGTTCTGCTGTTTCTAAGGGAGGATCTGGTCTGTGTAGCTTAGTGCATGATGATGTTCAGAGTAAGAGTCTGTCTGGGGGGAATGTTTTTCCAGCACTGTGAACCCTGCCATTAAAATTTCATTGGATGTATCAGCATCAGGCAGAAAATACCCACAAACAAATATTTCTGACCATTTTTCAGATTTCAGTAGCAATCCTTCATGCTTTCCTGACACATGGTTTGCAGTGTCATTCAGGCACTTATAAACTTGACACCATTTTCACTGCTACACTGAACACAGACATTGTCACTGCTATGTCAGGTGGAATCAGGAGGAGGAGCAGAGGGAGTCTGACCTGGAGATCAGAACCAAGTGCCTGTGAACAGCAGCACTGTGTGTTTGTGCCTCTGCAGGAGTCTGAAGCAGGACATACCCCCTGTTTTCACTCTGCCCCTACCTGTGGGTGGCTCTGCAAGGCTGCTCCTTGACTTCCTGCCTCGGCGCGTTAGAAACCTCTCGCTCACCTTCTTGGCTTCTTCTAGCAATTCCAGGTTCTTCTTTTTGTCTTCCTCTGAGATTTGGATGTCTGGGAGCTGATCATTTACCAGATCAATCACGTGCCCACTGGTGTCTGTGTAGAAAACCTCAGAATTAGAGCTGTGCCTCCTATTTGCAGGTACACTGTGGCGTTTCAGGGTACCAAGAACAAAACACACTTGGAAGTTTGCTTTGAGCTTGCCTGTAACAAACACTAAAGGCAGCTCTCAGGTTTAGAGCAAGCCCTCAAAAACACAGATAATCCACTAACATCAAGTCTCTGTGATCAAAGACACTGCTATGTGACACTGGCTTTTCCAGCTGTGTCCCCAGCATTGTTTTTCCAGTCTCTAAATAAAACTGGCATCAGATCCCTCTCAACTAACAGTCACAACATTGATGTTATAGAGCCAGTTTTTCCATGGAATTTGTACATTCAGTTTTTCAAGGCTGAGATCCCACAAACCCCAGCAGTGTTCCCTGTGCACACACTGCACACAGGGGTCAGACTCCACAGTTAGGTCTGCATTGCATGGCACATTTTCTGAGAAAACATCCTAGCTGGAATGAAGAATCACTTCTTACCAACAGAAGTCAGTGAACTTGTTGAATTCCTGGTGGCACGGTTAGAATGTCTCCTGTGAGGACTACGAGGCCTAGAGAGAGAGGTGAACAAACAAAAACTACAGATTATGCCACTAAAAAAGGTCCTAATTATCTACAAAAACTTAACATTCAAAAGAAAGCACTTTGATTAAAAGAACGGAGACAAAAAGCATTTATTGAAGTTTCTCTCATCTCCAAACAACTGGAAAATGGAGGAGATTGCAGAAAGAAGGAAAATTGCAGAAAATGCACTCACAAAGGAGCTCTGAAATTTGCTAATAACCTCATACACTGTGAACTTTTGGATCCTCAGAAAAAAACCCTATATTTTTCATATCAGTATCATGACTTAAAACTTAGGTAAATACACATGGCAAAAGAAATCATTTTGTCTCTGTAAATTGTTACTGCACAGCACCTGAGACTGCTGCAGGATTTATGCACAGATTGGCAATGCATTCCACAGTACCTGTTAACCAGGTTTCTATCAGTTTCTGCCTCTGGAGTTCCAGAGTCCTCGGGAAGGACAATAGAGGGTGTGCTGCATGTGGTCCCTTCGACAGCAGTGTCCTGCATGGTTTGTGACAAACAAAGATGTAGTCAAACACAAATTCAAACCACTGAATACTGATGCTCTATGTGGAAAATAATGTGCATTGCTCAAATTAGCTAAAGGAGAAAATGAGTGAACTAACAAAGATCTAACTTTAATATGCCTGTACTTAAACTGCTAAAAAGAGATGATTGAGACTTGGAATCTCTCTTTTCTTTACAAAGTTTTAACACATGCAAGCTAAAAATTCCGTTAGAATGGAACCAATGAAAAGCACTAAACTGGCAGACACTGTTTTGTCACACAGCAAACCATTCCTCTGCCCCAGCACTCGGGTGAATGTAGGAGCTGAATGCAGTGAAGTGTGACAGCCTCCCAACAAAACCAGTGCACAGAGAAAGCTGGAACAAATGCAGCATCAGGTGTACACGTGACACTCAAACCACCAGAAAAGAATTACAAGGTTATCTTGTTAGAGTTCTACATGGCTCTCCCTCCTTGGAAAAATGTTTTATAAAACATAACTGCAACATTTACCAAAATAAAATATAATCTGGAGTGATAAACAAAACTGGCACTGAATATCAATGCATGCTTGCCTGCTCAAAACATGTGAGACCTTGTGCCACGAACTTAATCCCTTCTGCACAATGCCAATCAGCTCAGAGGAACCTGCTGTCTCCTGTGAGATACCCCAAGTGGAAATGCATCATGTTGGAATAAAGTACTGTGGGTTTCTCACAGTAAAAACAGTGATCATTTCTACCCTGAGCCTACATTCCAAACAAACCACCCCCTGTACTGCTGAACAGCTACAGCAGCAATCTGGTGGTTACAGCCCCCCAAGATGTGGGAAAAGGTGATTCCCACACGCTCAGGCCGAGGGGGGAAGCGTGGGCACCGCTGGGAAGCTGCAGTTCTTATTTCAGCGTAGCCTCATGAGATAGGTGGAACATCTCACAGCAGAGTGATGCTCACAGCTGGAGGCAAAGCTTCCCAGAAGGTGCAGTGGCCTGGCACTGAGCAGCTGTGAGGCTTCCAGGACAGTGTGCCAACCCCCAGATCCTGGTTGTTTCTGCAAGGCACTGGTGTGTGCAAGTACCTGCTTCCAGTTCACCTGAGTCTGCGCTTCTCTCAAAACTACACCCCAAAGTTTCACAAGGAATTTGTAAGGCAGGCAATAAAAAGCTGTTGTAATGGTACTAATTTAGGCCTTCACAGAATGAACCATGTAACAGGGCACAGTTTAATAGGCCAAAAATGTAGGGCAGAGAACATCAAATCATCTGAGGTCCCTCCCAACCCAAACCATTCTATTCCATAAGAACACTGACAGGTACATGACTACTCATGTCTCTCTGATACCATGGAACTCCTTCCAACATCTCTCCCAGTGCTGCATTTCATTCTTACTGAAATAATGTATTTTCTGACCAATTCCATGAACTCTAGTAATATGTTGAAAATGGTGTAATATTAAAGTGTGTAGCATAATCCTTCTTCCTCTCAAGGGCAAGGTTTGATTTGCCCACCTGATTTAGGACTCTAGATTCTATTGTAAATAGAATATCTTTTTTTTTTTTTTTACTAAAATAAAAGCATTTCATGCAGCTCCGTATTTCTATACTCATAATTCTCCTACGAAGTTCCTTGGCAAGTTCCCATTGTCAGTCACAGGAAAGCAGCACGGGAAACATGCCAAGGAAACACCATGAAGATTTAAGTTTGAGAAAAACACCCTTGTGACACTGGAAATGTTGCAATGTCAAAGCACATAGGATTCAGCTGCACAGCTGACACTTCATGGCATGGTCTGAAGGCAATTTTTCCTGGTATTCCTGCAAACAAAGGCAGTGACAGAGCTCCAGGTGAGGGCCCTGCTCGTGGGGCCAGCGGTGGAACACGTGAGATGTTTGTACTAATCTCCTGAGCACCACAGAGCAGAGACCTTTGAGTGGTGCCACGTCAGCCTTGAAACCCATCTGGGGACTCAACACACAGCTCATTGAAAGGAATTAAAAGAGAAAGGGAAAGAAAGAGGCTGCAGCCAAGGCTAGCTCAGGTCAGGTAGAAAGCATTCCTCTTGGTCAGCAGCGGTAGCAGCTCCCCATTACACAAGTGAAACCTCATAGCTCCTCCTGTCCAAACTGCTGCACACTCACAGGAGAGGGGCAGGAAGAGCCAAGCATGGAGCTCCAGCTGGCTCTGGCTGAGAGAAACCCTTACCCTCTGAAGAGTGCTCAGGCTGCTCCAGGCAGAGCTTGGAAGGGAAGCTTCAACAGGAAGCTTAAGCTGTCTCACAGTCACACAGAGATGAGACCCAAGTTTTCCAGCACCTGCTGTTGTGTGCCTGTAGCTGTGCTCTGTGCCAGCTCTCCAGCTCCTCCTGACACTGCCCCATCCCCTAGTGCCAGTGGCTGCCTGCTACTCCCGTCCTTGCTTCCTTTTTATCCCAAACCTTCTCCCACAGAGACAGGGTAGAGCTGACTCCACGTCTGTGGCTCAGGTGGGAGCTGCTCCACATGGGTGACCGTGTGCCATCCAGTCCTGCAGAGGGGCAGGAAGGAGAGGGTGCCCCATGCAGCACAGGAGGGTCAGGGATCCTAGGGTGGAGACAGGACCTGCAGACATCCTGGCTGTTCAGCTCGCCCAGGGCCTCACCAGGCACACAGAAAATGCAAGTCTTATGATGCAGCCAAACTTTGAACATTGATGAGAGTGGAACATGAAATTACTCCCTGCTAAAAGACCTCCCATGCCAGGACAGACAGATGATAGAGCTTTCCTGTATAGCACCTGAATTCTTTAAAGCACTGGGGAAAACACAAAGGAAAAAGACAATCCCCTGCCACCTGCCCATACTCTTGGATATTAATCAAAGGCTGGACTGAATTTCAGAACAGCTCTGGCCTGAAGCAGAGTCCTGTGTGAAGGCCCTCTGAAAAGCTGTGCACCTGGGGGTGCAGTGTGTGCAGGGCTGGGGCTGCCAGCAAGCTTCATTCGAGAGCTTCACCAGGTGCTGAGCTCAGTGTTTAGCAAGGAAGGCAATGAAATTCATTTGCAACTGCATCCAGTTGAAACAGGAGAGCAAAGCAAACATGAGATGTGCCCTTCAGAGCAAAACAGATAGCATGCAGTGACATAATAAAAGTACAATACAAGTTTAAATAGGAATAATAAAAAACAAAAGAAATGCAAAGTTTAAATGATGAAATAATCAGAGTATGAGAAACATTATGAACACCTGAGACAGATTTTTCCTCAGCAGTCAGAAGAGCCAGTAAAGTAGGGATCAGGATACATAGAGAAAAAGCTGGAAATAGAAATAGGGATTTTTGGTTTAAAAAGAGGGAAATATGATGGCTCACAACTAACCTAGACAGTGTAGGGGAATTTATAGGCCACTATAAATCTCAATCTAACTGGTAAGGGCCTAATTCTCTTTTCTGCAAGTCAGCACTACACATATGGAAATTATATTTTCAATACTAAAACCTGAAAACAGCTTTTAAGGGTGTCACTGAAAGCATATTATAATGTTATAAGATGTGAAATAAATCTATTTGAATTTAAATGCGGAAATCACGAAAAGTTACATCTGACTACGAAGTTCTGTAATTTATAGTGGGAAAATGCTTCTGTACAAAAATGTCTAAAATGCTCAATACTTACTGCAACAAGACAGCACAAAAACTAAGAGTTAACTGCATGCTCTGAATTCAGGCAACATTCCAAACATGGGGCTAAGTGAAGCTAACTGCCCCCACACCTGTGTGATAGGAATTCCACTGCCACCTCCCTCAGGACACGGAGTGAGGAATACTCTGCTGATTGCTGCTCAGGGTCAGCAGGACAGTGAGCACAGGCTGCTGCAAGGTGAGCTGCACTGGAAACCCACTTGTTTTCTCACAATCAATCTGAGAAATACAACCCAGCTCTTCTCATTATGGGAGAGACACTCGAGGCACGCAGGGAACTACCTGTAATGTAAGGTTCAGTGTCTGTTTGTCAGAACTGTTCTGGGAATCTGTGTGCATTTGGGCACGCAGGGAAAGCACCTCCTGAAATGGCATGAGGAAATTCTTAGGCACCAGACTGCACTTTAGGACATGGAAAGTTCAATGGCAGCAAACAACTCCAGTGTTGTTAGCTACTTCTGGTGCCCTGTGCTCACTTGCAAGTCCTTATCCCACAGTCATAAGCTGCTTCACTGACAGTGACCGTGGCCATGCTGGAGCACTTGGCCTGCAGTGAGACCCAGGAGTGACCCAGGTACAAACAAGACCAAACTCACAGCACTGGCTAGTGGCAAACCTTAGCTCAAGTCAGCTTATGAGCAGTGTGTGGGTAAAACCCTTCCACTGACACTCTGTGCCTAAAAACTGCCATTTATCTAAAATGAAGCATTTTGCACAGTTAACTGATTCGTCAACTATCACATAACCCTAGTCCAGTCAAGACCTACCTTTCAAAGGCCTGTAAAATGTAGCAAAAACTTTTATTTTCTTTTATATTAGCTGGTTTGAAATCTTCATTTCTGCCATTTGACAAGCACACTCAGGTTTAGAAACACTGATGACTGCTAGCTTTTGATACTTTTTTTCTCTTTGGCTATGTTTTGCCTACCAAGTCTTTTGCACTAATACACTTTTCCCATAGGTGAGTTAAAAACCCCAATAAAATCTGCCTGAGCTAATCAATGCTCTCAGCTGACAGTGCTGGGCTGTTATCTCAGGGCAGAACACTCAGCACCATGTGCAGTCTGGGGGAATGCATGACACACGAGTGCAGTGCCCAGTGCTGACAGCACTTCCCAGCAGTGCTCAAGTGCTGATGTTTTCCCTAACCCAGTAACAGTGACACACTTCCAACTGAGGCTCAAGTGTTGACGTTTTCCCTAAACCTGTACTGTGCTGTGTCCTCAAACGCAGTAACAGTGACACACTTCCAACTGAGGATGTGCCGACTATAAATCCTCTCTTTCTTTACACCACTTTGCATAAAGCTGGATGACTTGGGTAAC